CGGTGTTTGGTGTAATGGTAATGCAGTATTGTGGGTACACTGGTTGATATTAGCATCTGTCGTCTATCTCCTATGTGCACAATTCAGTGTCCTCCCTTTTCCTAATGTTATCATGGTGGTCATAGACTTTTTCTATACATTCCTTCCCTTACCCATGTCAGCATGTGGGCTCCAACTAGCCCGAAATTAATCCCTCCCCTTCCTTCCCACCCTGGTAACCTATAAAGTAAGTTCCCTTTCTTAAGCAAACCCTTCTTTTACAGTAATGGGATCATACAGTATTTGTCTTTCTGCGATTTACTTATTTCACTCAGCATAATGTCCTCCAGGCTCATCTTTGTTGTGAGATGATTTGTGTATCCTTCATTGTTCTTTAATGTAGCATTTCATTGTGTGAATGCACCATAATTTGGTTATCCTTTCATCCGTTGATGGGCATTTAGGTTGTTTCCATCTCTTTGCTATAGTGAATTGTGCTGCAATGAATATAGGTGTATATATGTTAAGCTTTTTAATGGATTCTAATGGACTAAAGATACTATACCTGAGAGAAAAACACTTCCAGATATTTCTATTTAAGAATGCATTTGATACATAAAATACTACGATGCAACGTTAACAGTGTTTCTGGTTGTTTGATTAGGTGATTAATATTTTTGATAATTAAATCTCTTTTGCATTAGACATAGAAAAGATATCTAATGTTTAAAGTTTAATCTGATGTATTTAAGTATTATATGAACTATAGGGATAAATGAAAGATCATCTAAAGAAAGACACCATTGCATTGAGGGAATTTTCTTATCATGGAGTTATTTGGAATGGCATATTAACGCATTCATATTTTAATTTGATGGGACAACATTGACATGTAACTAGTAATCCAATTAATTGGCTTGTTTTAACTCATTAATAAGCTTAATCTGGTGTTCATTCATTCAAATAATTATTGAGCATCTATATGCAGGCTTTTATGCTAGGGTCTGATTGGTGCAAATGGTTAATGCACTTGGCTGCTAACCCAAAGGAGAGAGATTCAAGTCCTCCCAGAGGTACTTTGAAAGAAAGGTCTGGCACTTGACTTCCAAAAACATCAGCCATTGAAAACCCTACTGAACACAGCTCTGCTCTGACACACATGGGGTCACTGTGAATTGGAATTGACTCAATGGTAACTGGTTAATGCTAGGGCCTGGGGATATAGTAGTAAGCAAGACAAATATAATCCCCACCGTCATGTAGCTTATGGTCTAGTGGGGGAGGTAGGTATCAATCAAGCAATTAAAACCAATTCCAGTGTTCTGAGGGGAGAAGTAGAGCAATGCCTTCAGTGTATGTAGCAAGAGGATTAAATCATCACACTAAAAATATAAACCAGGCATCTCAGAGTTCCTTCTTTAGTTCACCCCTTCCTCAGAGCTGAAAATCAGAAGGCAAGTACTGAGACCCCAATGATTTGATGTCTGCTCAGGAATAGGGCTCTCATGCCTGAGTGTATGATCCATCTACAAAGTATTGTCTTCATTAGTGATGCAGCTTCTGTTGGCTGATTTTCCTAGTAAATCTTTTGTAATCTTTGCAGCCCAAATTACATAATTAAGAATTATGCTGCTCAAATGGCAGCATGCCCCAGAATTACTGAGGCGGGATGAGGTTATAGATAGCACTTCAGGCAGGGAACAGGGTCTAAGAAGAGTCCACTCCTAACCTGAATATGTTGTTGTTTGCCGTTGACTCACGATGACCCTATAAGGCAGAGTAGCACTGCCCCATAGGGTTTCCTAGAGTAAAATCTTTATGGGAGCACATCACTGGGTCTTTTCTTCCACAGACCTGCTGGTGAGTTCCAAGCCACCAACCTTTTGGTTAGCAGCCAAGAACTTAACCATTGCACCCGTAGGGCTCCAAACTTGAGCAGAGGTACCAATATTGCAGTACCAAGTAACTCCAGAGGGACTGTTAAAATGAATCTAGAATACCTAGATTACTATTAAACATTTAGATTAGATGGATGGGTAAGGACCAGCTAAGCACATGGGAAATTCTAACTGTAAACAAAATGGGAGTCTGTATTGTAAACCAGATTTTCATTGTATTCTAAATATAAATGGGTTTTATTTATTTCAGAATGTCCTTATTGTTGAGGTAAGCTGGCTTTTCCTTATCCATATTTGGAAGTTGAAAGAATCTAAAGGTGAGTTTTAAATTATAGAACTTGTTATCAGATTTGTCAAGGACTTACTGAATTCCCACTGTATGCATAACACTCCAAGGAGCTCTGGTGGCACAGTGGTTAAAGCATTTGGCTGCTAACCAAAAGTTCAGAGGTTTGAACCCACCAGATACTCTGTGGGAGAAAGATGAAGCAGTCTGCTTCCATAAAGATTTACAGTGTTGGAAACTCTATAGGGGCAGTTCTACTCTGTCCTACTGGGTCGCTTTGAGTTGGGATTGACACAGTCGCAGTGGGTTTGGCACAGTGGTCCCTTTGAGTAAGAATTGACTCGATGACAGTGGGTTTGGCACAGTGGTCACTTTAAGTTGGAATTGACTTGATGGCAGTGAGTTTGGCACGGTACTCCAGATTAATAAGAACCAAGTAGAATCACTGAACTCCAATAACTTAGAATAAAAGCACTGCAATAATAGCCATATGGTACTCTATCGTTTTTCATATCCAATTTCATACATGTCTAGATTGGTTTTGATACTTCTTTGTGGGTCAAACGTTTTACAGAAGAGGAAACCTATAGAACCAGAATTTACTGAAAAGTAAAATCAAAATTAGAACTCTTTACCCTTAATCCATTGTTCTTGCTAATGACCTCAAAGGACTTTGAGCAATTCTACCTTCAGCATCAAAATAATAAATACAATCAGTTAAAAACTGGCAATCCAAGGGAATGCTATCATTTAACTTCATTTGTTTTTTCCGTTTCAAAACCAATAACAAAGGAAAGAAAAGAGGAGCGGACCCTTTGTCAGCAGAGGGCCAATACAGCAAATGGCTACATTGCATTCAGGAGCACTCCCATCTTATCAGGTAGCAAAAATTCAGGGAAGCTGTTTCAGCTTTTGTTACACAATTGCCTATGTGCCATGTGTATCTGCAGCTCTTCTGGGTCAACATAACCCACAAAGTAGACCCTTTAGCCAAACAAACTGCTCAACCCTGGCTAAATTCAGACCTGTTGTTTGGATAATCAGCTCCCGACAGCTGATTTCTGTACTGAAGACAATAAATTTCGGCTGCCCATTCTGCTTTAATTGTGCAGCAGCTCATCAGCAGAGATGGGCCTGTGCTCTCAGCAGCCACGCACCCTCAGAACTCACGTGCTGTCACCAGCTGCCATCCAGACACATCTCACTTCCCAGCCACAGACTTCCCCATTGAGTGGGGAGACTCAGGGGGAGGTGTTTATCCATTCAGTGCATTCAGATGTACATCCAACATCCATGAAAATTCATGCCTCTTGTATTGTGTTGCATAACCTTAGGGCCAAATTTAGTCCTTGAATGTGCATGCACAAGTCCGAATGTAATCAATGAGGAGTCCCACATGCTCTGCAAAGGCAGAATTTAGCCCTTCATTTAGCACCGCTGAAGGATTCAGGGAGAAAATACTCACCAATATATTCTCCAAAACCCAGCTTCCAGAAAGAAACACCTGCCTCAAAAATAAATAAATAAATAAGCAATTTTGCCTCCTTTGTTGGCTCCAATTTGCTGACATATCTAATTATGATGCTTATTAATAAGAAACGTAATCATGTCTCTGGATGAAAAATCCATTAATGTTGACCAAATGTGTTGCATTGAATTTGTCTGTATTCTATGCAAAGGATGTTGTTGGAACCGGAAGGACCATGAAAGCTCTACTCAGCAGCATTGAGAAATACAAACCCAACATGGTTAAGGTAGCCAGGTGAGTAGGGCATTCACATCATCATTATTTCTGTTTCCAAACAGTCCCAGATGCCACTGCAGGATGCTGTTTCCAAAGAGAGTGGTAGTGGTTGTTGTTAGTCAAGTCGAGTCAGCCCCCTACTCATGGTCACCCCATGCACGGCCAAATGAAACTCTGCCTGGTCCGGCGCCATCCCCGTGATAAGTTGCAGATCAGATCATTGTGATCTATGGGGTTTTCACTGGTTTGTTTTTCAGAGGTAGATTGCTAGCTCTTTCTTCCTAGTCTATCTTAGTCTAGAAGCTCTGCTGAAACCTGTTCGGTATCCCAGCAAGACACAAGCCTCCACTGATAGATGGTGGTGGCTGCATATGCATTGTATTGGCTTAAATTGAACCTGGGTTTCCCTCACGGAAGCAGAGAATTCTACCACTGAACCACCTCAAAAAGAGTATAGTCTAGTCCCAACCAGTGACCCTTTGCCCAGGGGTGTTAGATTTGACCAACTGCAGAAATAGTTCATTTAACTGCTAGTCTGGGAGAGAGGAAAGGGAAGAGGAAACACTTTCCTGAGTTCTATGATCCCCTCTTGACTCTGCCCCCATTAGCTATTTCCAGGAGCAGCTTGGTGAGCCCCATTGCAAACACCTGCTTCCTCCCTTTCATCCAGAATCTTTCTTCTGTGTCACAGTAGCAAGAGCACACATTAAAGAGGCCGTTGATGATGATGCCCCCATCCTTGTGCTCTAGGGAGAAAATGCAGATTTTAATGATACTTAATTATATTTTACATTCACAGAGATTTTATTTATTTTTTATGGTAGTTTGTTGGTGAAGAGAACATCTAGAAGTGATGGCTTTAAACCTGACTGTAAGTGTTTTTTGTTTTTTGTTTATTTTTTGGTGGTGTTATTTTGTTCTGTGTTTAAGAATCTTTGGTTTCTGATTTGACGGCATCCTCTGTGGAGTGGAAGCTATGTAGGGCTGAGAGTCCCACAGATGTATCGTGGAGTCTGTCCCCTGCCTGGCTAGGAAGGAGAGAATCCTCTAAAATAAGGGTTTAGAAATTTCTGATTTGCATATTTTTCAGTAGCTCTGCCCTGTGCATTGCATATTTTCAAGTTTTCCATAGCACCTTAACTCCAAAGGACTCAGCTAATAAGTCCCCTTTTGGGGCAGAGGAAGCGTGGCCCTGCTGGACTTATGCAGGCCAGGTGCCTGCTCTGCCTCTATTCTCACCAATCAGACACAGTGGCAGGGGAAGGTTTGTGGGGGTTCTCATTCCATCCTCAGGAACTATTTACCAGACAATGCACAATGGTGACCTTCAACAATCCTCACTGTTAGCACCCAGAAGGGGAAACTCCTAACATTACTCACCACCTCCCAACAAAAGTTCAGTCACACAGAGAATTAAGCAGAGCAAATATCTCTCCATGCTATCTTCACACTTAATACTTCACACTTGACTTCAGGCATGTGTTTTGGAGAACTTTCCTCATCTAGGGCTCTTTCCTACCTCCTCCCCATAGCATGAATAGTTTCAAAGCCAGAAAAGATAAACAAGCAGCCTGGTTATTTATTATTCCAACACTAGAAGTGATTTTTTTTTTTTTTTCACTTGCATAGGCAGACTTCAGCTTGATTTTTATAACTTACATTCACTCTAAAGCCACTGACATAATTTGGCTACAGTTCTCATCAGCAAGCTGAACAAACATTGGAGCAAGAGAAGCACCATATGATAGTGTACTAGTGGACGTTTAGCCAGTGACTCGTTTCAGTCCTCTACTGGATAGACTGACTCTAGAAAATTCAGTTCTGGCCAAGTAGACCCAATAATATGTTCCTGTTGGTTACTGGTTTGGGCAATATAATCTGGATGTAGTTAAGGTTGGATGAGATTATGAAACAGAAATCAGCTGAGTAAATAATGTAAGATATTTACTATATAGATAAGATTTTAACTAAAGTTGAAAAGCATTTGTTGTGAACCTATCTGACTAATTACAAATGCCTTGCATCACTGTTAATAATCCATTAATAAAATAATAGCCTCTAGAACTAGTAAAAGGCAATGATGTGCCTGGCATTGTTCTAAGAGCTAAACAGAGATTCTCCTTATTTAACCCTAACAACAGCCCTCTCCTATAGGCATGATGGTTATACTCATTTCACAAATGAGAAAATTGAACACAGCAAGGTTAAAATGCTCGCCCTGCTAAGTGTAGGACAAGCATTGAAAGAAGGCGGTCTGGCTCCAGTCACTGCCCTTACTTTCACACCACACCTGCAAGTAATATCTGCAATTGCAAATATAAGAGTAGGAACTGTACCAATTGCCAGCTAGAGATAAGTCACTCTGGTTCCCTACTGTTCTTCTGTCCTACTGACCATTGTCCTTCTTTTACTCCATGACATCTCTAAAGGGTTGGCCTTTGGAACTGGCTGTGTCTAATTTTCCCAGTCTGAGTTGCCATGCTTGTAGGAATTGCACGACTTATTGTAAAATAATGATTACAACTAGGGTTATCTGCTATTTGCTAATATTCTTTTAGCTAGCTCAGAACCTGTTTTCTGTTTTCTCTCTGGATTTCTGGGGCTTTGTCCACTGCCTACACCAAAGTAGTTTCATAAATGTATATCCCCAGAACGAACAAACTTAAAAGAGCCCAAACAACTGAAAAAAGTTTGAAAAATCATTGGACCATTGGCACATTCTATGTTTCAAGAACTCTCAGGAAGAGTTATTTGTCTGTTCCTTAAAGATCTTTTCCAATAAAAACCATCTCCCTTTTAATAAATTTTTCCTCTACTTCACCTAAGTACCATTTAAATCCATTTCCTCTCATTCTGCCCTCCATAAAGATAAAGCACTAATTAATATCCTCTGCATTTTTGTGGACTCAAAGGCCCGTTCTAAAATAACCCTTAGCATTCTCTTCCTGAGGTTGAACAATCCCATTTCCTTTAATCTTGTCTCCTAGGTTTTGCTTCCCAGACCCTTAACCAACAGATGACATGGAGTACGGTGGGAAGATTGCTTCCTTGTTGCTACCGCCTGTACCCCTTCACGTATTGCACTATTATAATATCTTTTGTTTGAGCTGCACTTTATGATTTTCAACGTGTTTCTTTTGTCATTGTATCATAGATACTGCTTGCTTTGGAACAATGGGGCTACATGACTAACTCATACTTACTTCTGGTTATCCACTGGGCTTCCAAAGCCCTGTATACTAGGAATTCAGTAATTCCTTATTATATGTTTACTTGTTTGTCTTGTGTCCCTGAGTAGTTATTCTACTCAGATCCCTAGTGGGCTGGTCCTGTCCATTACTGATCACTTTTCTCACTTCTACCTCAATGAAATGTCTTCATTTGAGTGTCAACATAGCATATAGTGGCTTTGTACTTAAGTTATCTAAATTCTGTTTTTCTTTTTTTTTTTTCTCCTTTCTCTCTGCTAAGATGCTGGATTTGAGATTCCAAACTTATTTGTGGTGGGTTATGCCTTAGATTACAATGAATACTTCCGAGATCTGAATGTAAGTCTTGCATGCAAATCTCTAACTCCCTTTTCACAAGAACTCAACAGTAAATTGTCAGTTTAACAACTTAATATAATAATGACTCCTGTCATTTATTGTCTTCTGTGTGTCAAGAATATGCAGGGCACTTTGCATCCATAATCTCAATTAATTCTCATCGCTACCCTGTAAAGTAGGTAGTAGAATGATGGAAGCAAACTATGATTATCTCTATTTTGTGCTAATGAAATAAGGAAGCTAAAAACAAAACAATGACATGATACTGACTTTTTTCCTTAATCCTTGATTATGCTCACCCTTTCATAATAATAGTTTGTGTACTATCAAGCTGTTTTGTATCAGTGCTTGAAGTCTGTTGTTGTTGTTGTTGTTCTGTTCTGTCTAGTCAGTTTTGACTCATAGTGACCCTATGTAGAAAGTCTAGCAGGTGTCAATTACAGTGGCATGCAGCTCATAATTCCTGTGTGGTTTCAATACATGGGCATGACCCCTCAATGTCTGAGCTGTGCCACCTGACTAACACTGACCTTACTCGAAGTGGACCAATCAGTCTTTCTGTCCTGAGAATTAGAAATTCAAATCCAAAGTCACAAAGACCAAGGGTTGTTGGACTTCAGCTACTATAATAGCACTGCTGCAGAGAGATGGTCTATAGCTATTGTTGGCTGAGAACTCTGCAGCTGCCCTTGTTCTTGCCTTCCAGTTGCTTCATCATCACCTCTTCTTTTGATTCTGTGAACTACCCCAGTATTCTTCGAATAAATCCCCCTCCTTTGCTTGTAGTAACCTAACTTCATTTCTGTTGCTTGCCACCAAAATTCCTGACACATTTCTTGCTACCCAAAAAGGATCCATGAAAATTCATGCTTACCACTGCTATTTTTTCATTCACCAGACAGGTTGTCACTTTATCAATAGGAGACATTACATCTCCACCAGGCATAAACATACTGATTCCTCAGAATTATTAGTTTTTAGGAATCTGGGTAGCCAAATTTGGAATAAAGCTCAAAACTAAAACTGCAAAGAACCTTTTGTCTTTGCAGTTTTGCATTTGAATGGATCTTTTTAGATTTTATTCATATACAAAATACATATATGAATACATATTCATATATATGAATTTTTATCCATATATAAGATGTATACATGAATAAAATGTATACACATATATATATATTATGTGTATTTATGTGTTTACATATGTATATAGATAGATAAGGGAGCTCTGGTAGCATAGTGCCTAAGGCACTTGACTGCTCACCAGAAGGCTGGCGGTTCAAACCCACCAGCCACTCCTCGGAAGGAAGGTTGGGCAATCCTACTTCCGTAGTGATACTGCCTCGGGAACCCAAGGAGGGGTCGCTATGAGTCGGGGCCAACTCGACGGCAAACAACAACAACAACAACATAGATAGATATGTGTATTTCAGTGAACAAACACCAATTATGGGTGACATTCTGTTATTACTGCATCACATTTTCTGTGCTTCATATTTTGTTAAAAGACTGATGCCTTTAAATCCTCTATTGTTTCAGCACATATGCGTGATCAGTGAACAAGGTAAAGAAAAATATCGAGTCTAAAGAAGTAAATTCCCTCCATCGAATTTCCAGATAACATCATTCTTAGGACCGCACTCGGGAAGCCAGCATGTAAAGTTTATCTCCCCAGCCATGTTCACTCAGCAGGATATGTAGGGGGAAAAAAAAGTTTTAATGAAAGAGCTTTCTTTTTGAGATTATCATATAAAGTGTACCAACCATTCTTAAGGAAAAGAAAGCAAGGCTTTTATTTGATTTGTTCACAACCAAACCCTCCACCTTGTGACTCATGAGTTCTCTCTCCCTTCACACTCCTAACTACACCTTCATTTGTTTTGATACAGTCATTTTGCTTTCTTACTATTCCCAGAAATACTCCCACCTAGTAACTCAAATATTTACAGTCTTAACAACCTACACATCACTTAGGTCCTTATACTGCGAAAATCATTAAATTCCCATAATAAATATGAGCCCATATACTGAGAATATCATTAAATTACCATAATAAAAATGGGGAAAAAGGACAATTTGATGTAAATTTCTGTTTGTACATTTCTGACAGGCCATTATGATCTGCTTTTGACAAAACGTTTGTGAAACATAGTGTACGATGAATGCTAATGTTAGGAGCCTGCTCTCAGTGCCGGTGCTTTGCGCTTCCGGTCTGTGATGACAGTATGTCATGTATGCGTGGATGTACTCAACTGTGTTTAATACTCTGAATTCTAATTAGAAAAAATACAATGGCAGCAAGGCCCTGCTTTCTAAGCTGCATCTTTTTATTCACATGAGACGTGACCAAATAGCAGAATTTAAAAAGTATTTTTCATGGCACACGATACAAAGTATTTTCAATGCTCAAAACTAAGCAGCTATAAATTTTTCCTCTTATTTGCATCAAAGAACAATACACTATTATTATGTCTTGTCCTGAACGTGAACACAGAGGTTGAATTTTTTTTTTTTTTAATGTCCTTTTGAGATGCTCACACAGTCCAAGACATTAGAGAAAACCAAGCCTTAGAAAGCTTTTCCTGAGTAACATTTTTTTCTCTTGTCCTTTTTCACTGCTTTCTCAGATGTTCTCTAATATATGGGGATTTTTTTTTAACTGAAAATAAACTCTGAGTATCAACAGGGATGTTTTTCCTCACTTCCTCAATGGAGCAAATGTAAACTAAATAAGCAGCCTTTGTTTCGTTCTGAATCATATGCAGAGTACTGTTATTAGGTTTTAGCTTCTTTTAAACTAATAAAAATTACAAAAACTTATTGTGTTTCATGACTGCTTACTGTTTTTCTTCTGCCTTCATATTTTTTTATATATTTTCAGCCATTAAGAAGTGTGTGAGCCAGTAGCTTAAATATACTACTGCATATATCTACCCTATGGCTTTATTTTTGTTAACTTGGATAAAATCCAATATATGCACTAGCATAAGCAGATTAAGCCAGACATGATCAGCTGCTTTTTTCTCTCCTTGGATTTGTTTATAAGGACAAGGAATTTTAGCTGTAAAAGATTTTCTGGCATATCTTTGTTTTTGTTAGAGAAGAAAATAAACCACACCCACATATTCCAAGATGGAAATCAACAAAGGGAATTCCTTCTAGTATTGTTCCGTAGAAAAATCTGTATCCAAGTTGTAGATTTATTATGCTGTGTAATTGGACAGTGTCTCAAAACATCAAAATTAATCTTCTAAATACAACTTTCCATTATTCCGTATGTATTTCAGATGACCTAGAAAATTCTAGATATATATTTGATTTAAGGAGCTGTGGTAGCACAGTGCCTTAGTCATCTGACTGCTAACCAGATGGTTGGTTATTCAAACCCACCATCCACTCCGCAGCAGGAAGACTGGACAATCTACTTCCATAAAGATTTACCACCTCGGAAACCCAGCGGGGGTCACTGTGAGTCAGAATTGACTGGATGGCAGTTGTTTTGTTGTTGTTATATTTGATTTATAATAGTCAAGTGTAAGTTGATTATCATAATATAAGGTTATCCACGAAATATGCATTATAATAAATATATTTCTTAAACTTGAATTTTAATAAACATCAATCTTTTTAAGATTGGATGTTTATTCAAAGTAAAAAGGAAATTGATCTGATTCACGAGATTTTGAGAAAGACGTGCTGGAAGGAAAAATATATTAAATATGCAAGAAGTTGAATCGTTCCTGTTATTCTTTTTTCTTTCAGACAGTATTTTGAGAGTGATATCCAAGAATCTCACTTTGGGAAAGATAGTATTTCCTTTTCTCTTGCAAAACTCTTGTCTATTTAATACTACTAAGTCTATTCATGCTAAAAGAAAATGTGAAACCTTAGTTCCTGAGTACCAACCAAATGCATTTATTAATTTAGTGTTCCAAAGCTGATTAGAGGAAAAAAGAAGTGTATGTGTTATTATTGGGAAAATTTATGTTCAAAAATAACCTACCTAATTAGTAATAATAACTCTGGGATTTTTCAAACAAATTAGAATCGCAGATTATACATTGTCCCTTTCTTACATGGACTAGAATGTACCGCATGGTGAACTATGTACTCAAAACAACAAAAAAAAAAAGAAAAAAAATCCACTGGCATCAAGTTGATGTCAACATCTTTATGGAAGTAGATTGCCCCATTTTCCTTCTGTGAAGCAGCTGGTGGGTTTGAACAACCATCCCTCTGGTTAGCAGACAAATGCCTTAGGCACTGTGCCATCAGAGCTCCTTTGTGTTCCACAAATGAACTGCAAATAGTCAAATCTCGCTGTGCTTGGGTTACTCTTGTTTAACCTTTGACTATAACATGATTGGTCTTTTTATGTTTCAGGTCTTTTAGGACAAAATCAGGCATTTATGTTGTCTCCTTTCGGATAAACTTGTTTTCCCAGTGGAGAGAGAAGTAACTTATCCCACTTCCAGGGACCTGGTATCAAAAAAATATTTCCTCACTTTTATAATAGACATAGTCTGTTCTGGGAAATGGAAACCCTAAACCAAACTTCTCTCACCCAGTTGCCTGGCTAATTTGGGCAAAAATAGCATTTGGGAGTTTTAGTTTTATCATAAAATTCCTTTGGATTCCAACAGGACAAATGAGGACTAGTGGACAGTGTAGTTTCATGAAGGGAGAAATGGTTTGTAGGAGAGAGATTTGTGCCTGGGTTCTAAGAGGTGTGTTTAGAGATAAGAAAGTGTGTACGTGGGGAGAGCTGCATTGTATCTTGGCCTCCGTAACACACCACGATGGGTTCTGAACTCTGTGGAGAGAAGACAAAGACAACAGCTGAAAGAATTGTTTTCATGATAACCTTTGTGCTGCACTGTGTGGCAAACAGAGCATTCTCCACTTTTCATTTAGGAACACAGAAGAGCTGTGGTGCAGGGAGGAGTAAGAAGGCTGTTTTAGGGCCCCAGGGGTTCTGCAGCTTTGGAGGCACTCTGGACTGAAAAAGGTATCCACACTCAAGGTGTTTCATAAGATATCACCCTCTAGAGGCTTTATAAGGAGCTCTGCTGGTGTAGTGTTAAGGCATTTGGCTGCTAACTGAAAGTTTGATGTTCAAACCCAGTAAGGGTTGCTATGAGTCAGAGTTAACTCAGTGGCAGTGAGTTTGGTGTTTTGATTTGAGAGGCTTTATGGACCACAGACACCCATAAGACAATACATGAGAGGACTGTTGATAGACACATGTGAGAAAACTCAGGATCCCAGTAACAAAACTACTTTGTAGAGTTGTAACAGGTTGTGCTGGTCATGCCCTGAGGCTAAACTCAGCTGCTATTCTGCTTACCATGCCATCCACTCTTGCAAAGGACTGTATCAGCCCTCAACAAATAGGACCTTTTTCTACTTACTCTGCCCAGAAAGAGTGTTGAGTTTTGGGTTTTGTTTTGTTGGCAACTTATCAGCCAAGAGGGGCTGTCTTTTTCTATCAGGACAAACTCTGCTCAGAAATAAGTAGGGGAGAATATGGAAACAGGGTGGGGTGCTGAAGTCTTATATTTTCCAAGTGGAAGAAATAAGCCTGAAATACTTTACTGTGACCTCATTTGTGTCCAGACCCCAGTGAGTGTTGAGTAGTGAACATGCCTTGAGTTAGGACCATGAGTATAGACTACCTCAGTCAAGAAGCCTGGCTATGAAAAGAAGAGACAAAGCTGAGGGGGTGTGGAGTGGAAAATGAGAGACTTGTGCATATTTATTTACTGTAGAGAAAAAAAAAGTAGAAAGGAAGAGTATTAGTCATTGATTGCTGTTGGGCAAATCACCCCAACTTAGTAGCTTAAAATAATCATTTATTATCTTACAGTTTATAAGAGTTAGGAATTCAGAGAGGGCACAGTGGGGCTGTCTTATTTATGTACCATGATGGCTTGTGCTTCCACTGGAAGACTCAAAGGCTAAGAGCTGCCACCATCTGAAGTTAAACTGTCCATAACCACATGTGTTATTTAAATTAAATGAGATTTAAAATTCAATTCCTCATTCACACTAGCTACATTACGATTGCTCAACACCTCATGTGGTTAGTGACTACCATATTGGACAGCACAGATATAGAATATTTCCATTATCGCAGAATACTCAATGGATAGCTCTGATCTGAAGGTTTCTTTATTCCCACGTCTATTTGTTTATGTTGGCTGTCAGCTGAAACCTTTGTTGAGGCCATTAGGTGAAACTCTTGTCTGTGGCCTCTCTATGTAGCCTGGGCTTCCTCACAAACATGGTGGCTGTGTTCCAAAGGCAAGCATGGAAGAGAGAAAGAGAAAGAGATGCATCCAATGGGGGTGTATGTGCACTCACCGGGCAGGAATGTGAAGAGATACACAGAGAGAGCCAGGTAGAACACATATTGCCTTTTATACAGCAGCAATATTTCCATCACATTCTATTAGATAAAGCAGTTACAAGGATTTTAATTGGATTCAAGGGGAACACAGACCCTCACTACTCAATAGAAGAATAGCAACATCATACTGTAAGAAGATCATGTGGCATGTGATATATACTGCTATGATCCTCTTTAGAAAACACAATCTGCCACAGAGGTTTTGTGCCCTGCACATTTCATATTAATAAGATTAGTGAAGGAGTTAAGTATTCAGTGGTCATAATGCATAATTGAAAACATGTCTCCTTGCATAGATTTTTTAAGAATTAGAGACTACTGCCTAGCCACATGAGAAAATACAGAATGATTAAAAAGAACACCAAACAGTATGCACACCTTGTTTGTAAAGATAGAAACACATGTTTGCCCATTCATAGTGTTTGGAATACATTATGCAGACTTTGAAAGAGCAAAGTTCTATTAACTGCTTATGTTTGAAATCTAACATATATAATAAAATAGTTTTTGTGAAGCATTGTATAAATGTAAGTTCA